AAATTTGGTGTACAGGCACTTTTTATCTCGATTAAATGCTCTCATGAGATAAAAAGGAATCATATTCTACGCGGAGGAAGTCGCGGGCAATATCTAATAGTTGATCAATTATTATGTTTTCGGCTTACTCACGTAATCATTTGACGAGGAACTCGACCAGTTCATTTAGTATGTCTCACGAAAGTTACAATACCAATATCTAGTTGGTGATAATGTGCATTTAATTGTGTATAGTATAATTCAATGATTCATCATAATTGTGATCGCAAATTTAGTCCAGCAAATGTTGAAAATTCAGCAACAACGCCTTTTTCAAAACACAACACAAGTAAAATAAAAACAACAGAAGTAGAAACTAAAAATGCATTTATTATTATAAAATTATTAATACGGCGGAATGAGTATTATGAGGTATATTTACAAATAATAATTCTATTATTATTTTAAATTAATGTTTATCCTAGCGCCTTGGCTGCACCCAGTACTTCGATAGCGGGGCCTGCCTTGACGATACCGTCTCGGATGTTGCGGCCCACTTTTTCCTGTAAATTAAAAATATAAGAATTAAAAAATTGATATTAAAATCTTTTCAGTTAAAAACAATTTCTACTAGTGTCATGATAAAGTCGTTTATTTATTTAAATGTTCTCTCTCATGGTACAGTCATAATTTGAACTTCTCACTACCTAATATAAAGTAATCGTGAGGTACACACGGCTACACATCGAGCTTTACATAACCAGTATAAACTGAACGTTAAATGTGCGGAAAGATGATGCGACGCGACACCAGGATAAACTGGTTTTGTATAGATTGATGTGTGGCCGTGTGTATATTTAAAATTCCTTGATATGTCGATCTAAATCAATACATTTTTTTGCATTTTTGCACTCGAACGCATACTAAAATTACTCTTTGATTCTTTTTTATTGGCGTTAAACTCCCAACAATTATTCAGAGTTGCAGAGAGAAAGAGACAGAAAGTCGCAAATGCGACTGTCTTTTTTTTTA